ACCATCCTTTATAGGGGTGGCTTTGCAATAAATTCCAGGAAAATTAGAGTTGCATTAAAGGTGAGGATTGGGATTAGGTTTGCTATTAACTGTAGTCTTTGTGTTTTTTATGACCGGGTTATGTTTGAGGTTAGTGCTATATTTTAGGCTTATTTGAGGGCTATTTTTAGGTTTAGGACAAGGGTGTATTTAGACATACAGGCAACTTAATTACTTGGGCGGGGCACTCCTGTTCTCTTGCACTGTTTGGGGAGCTGTATAATTGATTGGGAACAGTGTATCCTTTCTAAAGTTCTACTCCGCCCTGTAAAAATTAAAGAATGGAGTGATAGAATGCATGCAAGACCTGACAAAGACGGTTTTAAGAGTAATAGTACGTTTCAAAAAGCAGTTTGTAGTCACCCAACTCGGTGTGCACCACTCAGCCTCTCGCCCCTCAAGACTGGTAGCACGTACGCATCATTCCGTTCTGGCCAATCACTTTCAAGGCTGACTCACTCAGGAACTTGATGTGACGACTGCCAGGCTTTCATACTTTGGACGCCGCCCCTCTCGGATGCGGACTCACGCTCGTCCGAGGGTCAACTTCATCCAACCCCATCCTCTGCTATCTCTGTACAAAATATACTATTCCGCCTAGCTGGTGTCTTACTTTTTCTCTTTCAACACGGCCATGGGCCTGAAGATCACAGCAGCCGGGGGCTTCCATTATTACCTAAGGCCACTGCGACATGTTCGCCATCCCAGCCCTGCACCTTAATTGTTGTGACGGCTTTTGTTATGCGCGTTGTGCCGTAAATATCACATCTCATGAAATGCCAAGCAAAATTGTGAAATATTGAGAGGACGACTCGATCGCTGGGACAATACTTATATGCGCCTGACGTTTCGAGATCCGTCGCGGGTTCATCATCAGAGACCTAGTCAGAGAGCATTAGCAGATATATGAAACATGTTTTCTATTCGAACAGATGACCTAATGTAATACTGATTGTCGTGCAGCCTACTTTCAAAGTATTTCAATCACGCCAGGATAGCGGCTTATAGCTGAACTTCTTTGTGACCGCGTGCAAAACGTATATTCTGCACGAAATGCCAAATGGCGTAGTTTGCATTTTTATCGTTGATTTTAATTTTTAATTTTCCGTCTCGGGCTGATGCAAATTACAGTTGCCAATTAACAGTTACTTTATTACGACTAGTAATTTTGTCCACCATCGACTGACGCAAATTGCAGCCACAAATTAGCGCCCATACCAGAGGACCATATAATTTTAACAGCACCTTTGAAACTATAATTGCTCGTTACTTGGGCGGGGCACTCCTGTTCTCTTGTACTGTTTGCGAAGCTGCATAATTGATTCGGAACAGTGTATCCTTTATAAAGTTCTACTCCACCCTGTAAAAACTGAATTGATAGAAGCCATGCACGACCTGACAAAGACGGTTTTAAGAGTAATTGTACGTTTCAAAAAGATGTCTGCAGTCACCCAACTCTCGCCCCTCAAGACTGGTAGCGCGTACGCACCAGTGTCTGCCGAGCCCATTCTGTTTTGGCCTATCACCTTCAAGGCTGATTCACACAGGACCCCAATACGACGACTTCCACGCTCTCATACACTGGATGTAGACTCACGGTCGTCCGATGGTCAACTTCTTCGAACGTATTTTGTACTGTCTCTCTACAAAATATACTATCCCTCTCACCTGGCTTCTCACTTTCTCTCTTTCAACACGGCCATTGTCCTGAAGATCGTAGCAGTCAGGGTCTTCCCTTATAACCTAAAGCCACTGCGAAATGCTCGTCACCTCAGCCCTGCACCCCAATTTTTGGGACAACGTTTGTTATGCGCATTGTACAGTAAATGTCCCATCTCATTAAACGCCAAGCAAATTTTGGAAATATTGAGGGGACGACTCGATAGCTGGGACAATACTTATATGCGCCTGACGTTTCGAGATCCGTCGCAGGTTCGTCATCAGAGACATAGTCAGAGAGCAGTATCAGATATATGAAATATGTTTTCTATTCGAACAGATGACATAATGAAATGCTGAGTATCGTGCAGCCTAATTTCAAAATATTTCAATCACGCCAGAATAGCGGCTTTTAGCTGAACCTCTTTGTGACTGCATGCAAAACGTACAGGGTGTCCCAGAAGTAACGGACCCTTTTGATTTGCCAATAAAACGAAAACTATTCAGGCTAGGATATTGAAACTT